CTTGTTCTTGATGCGCTCCCTAGTTATTTCCAAGAAAGAGTCATGCGGACTCTAGATGGTACATACGAATTGTGATACATTTTTCTGAAAGAGAAAAAACATGCATAAGGCAAAATTATATATTTTCGAAATGCAGTTTTATTAAACACAAATTAATCAATCTTGTGCATTAGAAAAGAAACACTTTTATAATACAAAGAAAGAGCAATATTATGCGGATTTTGAGGTTTGATAGTTTCCACGGAACATCTCCATATAAATGTAATGTCTTAACACACTAGAACTTGCGATGAAAACAATCCTTTTTGAAATATGTTAACATATTTGTTTTACAAAACAAAGGGTTATGAATAGGATAAAAGTTGAGAAAATTCATTTTTACAATCATTGATTTTGGGGACATGTATGTACTACTCTAAGCACGACAATCGACCGCTTGTTGCACGCACTATTTATTTAGAAATGATTCTTATAAATGTTAGACAAGTATTAGTTAGTAACTGCATTATATATACTTACTATATACTTATGTACTATTTATTTAAAAATGAATCTTATAAATGTTAGACAAGTATTAGTTAGTAACTGCGTTATATATACTTACTATATACTTGCAATTCTCGGTAATTTATTTACATAAAAGTGCGGTAAAAGTGAGCATATATACAATTAGCACTTTCACGTAATAAATAACAAATGATAAAGCAAAACAAATGGCCCAATAAGGCAATTATAGAAAACGTTAGAAATAGAAAATTCAAATAATTTCGTAAATGAAATCTAGATGTTAAAATGTCACCCCCAATCTAAAATTAATGCATTCCTTACATTTATGGAGAGTTCACTATCTGATAGCGGGTCTATGACAAGTGGTGTTGTTGCTAGCCGTGGTGGTGGTGCCGGGAGAAATACCAGAGCATCGGGTTCTAGTGTATCGGTTATGCCACTTCATGATTTGAAGGACAATGTTAAGAAAGTAATGTTTTATTGTTAATTTGCTTCCTTCCAATGAAGTTTGCCCAGAACACCTTTCCTTTTATGTTTGGTGTTTGCTAATTAGACTTGTTCTTGATGTGCTCCCTAGTTATTCTCAAGAAAGAGTCACGTGGACTCTAGATGGTACATAGGAATTGTGATACATTTTCTCAAAGAAAAAAAACCAGGCATAAGGCAAAAGTATATATATCCGAAATGCAGTTCCAATAATAAAAACAAACTAATCACTTCTTAGAACAAAAATAGGCTAAAGGATAACGCTCTGGACATGGTGGTTAAGCTAGATCCTTTCATACATAAGACACAGATAAAAAGAGAGACATGATAATATAAAATAGAGATGAGATGTGTGAAGATTCACAATGCCATTCCTTGTGTCGTTGGAGAGACAGATCAAGCGTTGCTGTTTTGGCATTCTCGATCAACGGCTTCGTGTATTTCTCCCTGCCCCACTTCCACGGCTACCACTAGCTCCATTTGGTCTGGGATGTAACCTATGTAATGTTTAACATTTATAGATATTTCATCACATATTTATATATACTTTTTATTTCGCTTACAAAACCTAATTGAAGGAAGAAAGTTAACAATAAAACACATTAAAGATTCCAAATTTATAAAAATCGGAACTAATCTTCTACATTAGAATCGAAACACTTTTTATATAATATAAACAAAGAGCAATTTCATGCGGATTTTGAGGTTTGATAGTTCTGAACATCTCGATAGAAATATAATGTTTTAACCCACGAGAACTTGTGATGAAAATAGTCCCTTTCGGAATATATTAAAATATTTTTTTTACAAAACGAAGGGTGATTAATAGGATAAAAGTTGAGAAAACTCTTTTTTACATTCATTTATACTGGGGATGTGTATATACTACTTTAAGCACGAAACTCGACCGCTTGTTGCACGTAATATTTATTTAAAAATGGTTCTTATAAATGTTAAACAAATATTAGTTAGAAACTGCATTATATATACCTACCATATACTTGCGATGTGAAGTAATTCACCATAAAATTGTGGTATAACTAATCTGAGTAGTTGTACAATTCACACTTTCAAGCGTCAAATATCAAATGATAAACCGAAAGAAATGACCCAATAAGGAAATTATAGAAAACTTTAGAAATAGAAAATTTAAATACTTTCATAACTGAAGTCTAAATGTTAAAATGTGACTCAAATCTAAAAGTAATGTGTTTCTCACATTTATGAAAAGTTCACTCTTTGATTAGAATGTGACATTATCCTTAAAATTAGGAAGTGGCTGTCGAATATTTCTCCCTGCACCGCACCAAATCCGGAGCCTCTACCTTACTGTAGAGTAAGGTAGAGTGCCTTGATTCCTCCCGGTTATCCGATCGACAATTCAGCAGTCGGAGATCTTGGGCTCCACTTTTATGCCGATCTCGAGGCCGTGCTGGCCGCTCCCCTCCCGTCAGATGCGCAAGTCACCCTCCTAGTCAGGTAGAGGATCTCAATCCGCACCGCTACCCTACCACTAGAGCTCCACTTGTTTTTGGAACATATTATAATATTTATTTTACAAAATCTAATCTAAAATATAAATAATAATAATATAATAATATTCTAATATTAAAGTTGATGCTTATAATTTCAAGTTGATGCTCAATAAAATTAAAACGTCTTGATGTTCAATTAAAGTACATATGATTTTCATATCAATTCTCATTTTATAAGTTATTATGCTCAACGAGAATTCATGTTATGCTCATTTGTATAATGGCATAACAATGTATATTTCAAAAGTATCATATTGCATTAAATTCGCATACTGAAGTTCATAAGAGTTGATTATTGATGTAATTAATAACTTTTTATAAAGAAAAGATAAGAAAAAGAAAGTAAATTCGAAGAGATGAAGCAAAGATCACGATGCTCATTGTTATGCTTCTAATGTTCAACAAAATATGTCTCATGCTCACTAGATGTGTTTTATTGCTCATTTACTGTAAGACCGGAAGAGACACTCTCCGGATTTGTAAAGTAGCGGTGAAGCGTTGAACTGAGTTCGGAAAGAGACCTCGTAATCTTCGTCTGGAACCATGTCGGTGGGTATGTATAAACCGCCGGAATTTGGGGGTGTTTGGATCTGATTCTTAAAACTTCTTCTGCTCCTTCAGGGAGCAGAAGCAGAAGCTGGAGTGTTTGGGTAAAAGTGCACAAGTGATTCTGGTGCTCAAATTTGCTCCTAGAATCAGTTTTTTTAGAAGTTGGGGGTGACCAGCTTCTGAAAACTGATTCTGATTCTGTTTCTGCTTTGAAAAAGAAGCAGAAGCAGAATCAGTTCCAAACACCCCTTTGGGAGGTCTCTTTTAGTGAAGCTGTTGAAAGATGGATCAATATCTGCACAACAAGGTTATCTCTCCTTCCCTATTTCCCTCAGTGTATGTTAGTGTAAGGCTATTTTCAGTATAGAAAATTTGTTGGTGTAGTTTTATCGGTATGTACCCGAGGCTTAAGTGAGTGTACCCTCTCGCATACAACCCATCTTTGCATTCCTTCACAAGTTCACATTCAACCCGGATTGATTAGGCTAGGGGATGACAACTCACTTGCTTCCGCTCATACACAAAGCCTACACCAGCCTCCCTGAACTGCTCTAATTCCGTTCATCTTCTCCGCATTCTCTAAGGTTTTAATTTTGTGTTTTATCAGGGCCGTCTAATGAATTTGGAGACCCGGGTTCTAAATGTAAAATCGGGGCCCCACATTAGTATAAAAAAAATAAAAAAAATCACAATTCAAATACTCATACTCAAATCAATTGAATATTAATTAGAAGAGAACTAAAAAAAGTAAAGGGACCCACAAGAAAATGATGAATCTATATTTTTCTTTCTGACTAGCTAACTGTATTTTACTGATTAGTATTGATATATAATCTCATTACTATATAATACTAATAATTTTTAAAAATCAGGGGCCCCATAATTCAGGGGCCCTGTTCTGGATAACCTATTGAACCAAGTTCGTATACCGTGGGATCATCCCACGGTGAGCACCGTGCTCCACATCCCAAAACGACGTAGGTTTGCAATTTGTTTAAACAAAAATTGCGTGAACAGTAATGCGTGAACTGTAACGCGTGTACAGTACCTATTTTTTTGTCCCTGTAACATGAGTGATGTAACTCACGAGTAAAATAATGTAACTCACGTTATTGATTGATGTAACTCAAGTACAGTCGAAATGTAACTTGTCAAATACATAGTATAAGATACAAAATATTGATTTCGATGAAAATAAGAAGTCTAATTGTCCAATTATTTTACATAAATAGTGCATATGTTTTTAATATCAAGGTTATAAAAATGATTTTTAATAAAAATAATTTTTATTTGAATAGCATGGGCTTATTGGGTTGTGTAACTTGCATTATATTGTGATGTAACACACTTTATGAAAATGTAAATCAAATGTAAACATGATGTAACTTGATAAGAAAAGTTGACATGTAACTCACGATAAAAGATATGTAATTTTAGGCAAATCCTGATGTAAATTGAGTGTGCGCTAGATGTAAGTTGAGTAAGGTCTACAATAATTTATAGGGGTAAATAAATTATAGAAAAAATTAATGTGATCATGTTTTTCATATTTTAATAAATAAAGGAAATTAATACCATTGAAGAAGAATAGAAAAGAAGAAAGAAGAAACAAAATCAGGAAGAATGGCAAATCGAATGGGAAGTAGGGAAAGTGGGTGGTACGTGGAAGCTTTTTACTCGGTGGTGAGGAAGTAGAAGATTTGAGAAGCTTTTTACTCGGTGGTGGGTGGAAGTAATACGAATCATGATTTCAACCATTGGCCGGGTATGATCGAGGATGTAGTGCTCAAACGGAGAAAAAAAATACTGTGATGGAGAAGAACAACACCCAGCTAAAAGAAGAACAGAATATTTGAGAAACGATGCCGTTTTGGGTACCGGTATACCATGCACATGGTATACCGGTACCACGGTATAATTTGCGTATTGAACCCCTAAAAAACGGCCATGTGTTTTTATGATGATTACATTTAACTATTTAAGGATTTCATTGACTGTTCAGTTCGAGCTTAATTGTAACCATTGGTTGTATCCATCTTATGCGCAGTGCAAGTCATACCAATTCGAGAACCTCGTTCATAGTTTCCCCTTTAATCTTCCGCTGTTCGACACTGCTCCAGGTAAATGTCCTCGGCATTTGTTAACTTCTTGTTTTTCTTCAACTGATTTCACTGCCTCTATAAATATTAGTCTCAATAACCATTCGCGGAGTACAAGTCTATTTGAAATGAATCTCCCTATAAAGTAATTCTGGAACCTACTTAATATGGATATTGAATTCTTTTAGCTCTGGTTTATACTATAATCCAATAACCTGCACATTTAAGCTATAAAATCATATTGATTGTAAATCAACTTTTTAAGGGTTTATTGAGATAAGTCTTAGAGCATCGTAACCTGAAGAGTAACCTGTCATCTTTTGATAAGGCTTGCCCTGGGTCAATTTTCTTACTATATACGGAGTATATAGCAAATGATACTTGCAATGCGTAGTAATTCACCATAAAAGTGCGGTATAACTGTATAAGTGAGTAGATGTACAATTAGCACTTTCACGCGTTAAATAGCAAATGATAAAGCAAAACAAAAGACCCAATAAGGAAATTATAGAAAATGTTAGAAATAGAAATAATTTCATAACTGAAGTCTAGATGTTAAAATGTCACCCCAATCTAAAAGTAATGCATTCCTCACATTTATGGAGAGTTAACTCTCTGATTAGAATGTGACATTATCCTTAAGATTAGGAAATGGCTGGCGTTCGGGGATGTAACCTATGTAAAGTCTTAACATTTATAGATATTTCATCACATATTTATATATACTTGTTGAGGTTTATTCCTTCAACCCGTGGACCCAACACGTAAGCCCAAAGGTTTCGAGTGGAGTGAGTGTATGAATGTCTAGCCCAACAACTATTAGATGAATCAGGAGACAACAGTGATAGCAGGCAATGTAAATAGGTATTATTAACTCCGTAATAACTCCCCTAAGTACAATCTACTCGCTAAACAAGGCACGTCGGCCGTTCGTCTTACAAGGCACTTAGAAATGCTGCAAGTAAGAATGCTGAAGCTAGTATGCTAAGAATAGAAAGTTGCCAACCCCTTACAATGAAATAAATGCTTCTATTTATACCCGCCAATGGGCAGGTGGCTGTACTGACGTGGCAGCCTGTGGACCGCTGGTGTCCCAACTACCAAATCTTTAGCATTAAATGCACTTCCCGCCAGAATCTAGGTTTCCCGCCGGAATAGTGGGGACGTTCGTCCACCCGGGAAGTGAGTTGGATTCCTCCAAGTGACCCTTGAGGGATATTGGCTGTTCGTCTCCTGGCCTTGATGGATTCTCACCATGTGGGCTGGGTCTCCTCCGATGACTATGGGCTTGCTCAGGAGACGTTCGTCGTCACCCCTGATGGCCCGTGGCTCCGCTCCTTGTCCCTGCTTAGACGTTCGTCGGGATGAGCCGCTGGGCCTGAGTCCTCCAACACCAGACGTTCGTCCATGCTTAAAGTACATGGGCCTGTGGGCTGGCCTAGTTTCTAGCTGGACGGTCGTCTGGCAAAATGGGTTAGTGGGCCGGACCTCGGCTTGGGCCCTTAACCCAACACAAGTCCCCCACTTCTGATGTTCTGAGCATGCGCAGGACATAAGGAAGTATGAACCTCCCCGAAGTAGACGTCCGTATTTTGGCACTTGTGTTCATTGCATCTTGGCGGAATCGTACGCTCGTGGCCATGGTGCTTGACAGCTGTTGACGGTTCAGGAAACGAGGTGACGGCTGATGTTGCGGCGGCGCATTTTCCCGAGGAAGTGTCATCATTACGTTCCCATCCCACGCACAGCGCGTGGGCCGGAATACGCTCCTTGCCACGTGTCAGCCCCTCGTTGGCTTCTCCATCGGCGTTTCCCTTATAAATGCTGGGTTTGCCCTCTGAATTAGGGTTCCCAATTTCCGCTTTCTTGCTCTCAATTTTCCGCAGCTCTTCAAGTTTCCCGAATTCGGCCAACCGTACCTTTGTAAGGTAATTTCCCCCCTCTGCTTCTTTTCTTTACCCTGATTTCTAGCCGAAATGACTTCGATGGAGATTTCCTCAAGTTCTGATTCCAGTTCGTCGGGTTCCTCCTCGGGCTCCTCTTCTGACAATGCGAATGCACGCTCCCTGGGAAAAACTAGTGTTTCCGGAACCTCGGGTTCGGCCACGACTGTGGGGACCATCCGGGCTGATGGCGAGCCGGATGACGTGCCCCAAGATAGCGGGAGCGACGCCGGGGGCGGGGGCGCTGACGGGGCAGTAGATGTTATTGACGCAGTCCCCCTGAATGAGCGTCCTGCTGATTATGATTCCGGAGAGGAAGCCGAATCTGGTTCTGATGTGGAGGTGTATGATCTGGGCATCCCCACGGATAGGGAGCGCCACATCTGCCCGATCAGGAGTGCACTTGACCATGACCAAGTCCTCTCCCGCGTGGCCCTCAATAAAATCCGTACCTTCCTTCCCCCGCCGTTCGTCTGGAGTGTGAGAGGCGCTGAGCACGTGATGAGGAGACGTCCGGGGATGATCATGCTTCACCTGGATTCCGTTGAAGCCGGGCTGCGGTTTCCACTTCATGCGTTCTATGTGGAGTTCTTCCACTGCTTCCAGGTGGCCCCGGCGCAATTCATGCCAAATTCTTACAGATTCATATCGGCCTTCCTGGTGCGCTGCAAACTTGCGGGGGTCGATACCACTCTGGAGCTCTTCCATTATTTCTACCGCGTCACTCCTCAGAACGCCGACGGGTATCTGAGCGTGGCCGCACGTCCTGGGAGGCGCCTGTTCAAGAACTACCCTTCGTCCATCCACGACTGGAAGAACCGTTTTTTCTTCCTTCGATACGACGGGCCTCCTCTCCCTCTCCGGTGGAATGGGTACCCCCCAAAGATTGAGTCACCGGAGCCGTCCGACGATCTGCTTCTGGATGCGGAGAAGGTGTTGGAGGGTGGCGTCCGTCCTATAGCCGGATTTCTGACCTTCGAGGCACTCTCTGGGGCAGGCATAGGTACCGCCCGTGTCCCTGGACTTTTTCTACCCTTCGACGCTCGTCTCGGGGCGCCGGGCGGTCCTGTCCTTCGAGGTGAGTGTCTTATTCTATTCCCCGCTCGTCTTCTAATCCTTTGTTATTTTTTGCAGGTCCTCCGCCAGACAGAGATCAAATGAATCATGCCGAGTGCCTGAAGACCAGGCAGGCCAAGGCGGCCGCTGCTAAAGCTGCGATGGAGAAGGCCAAGAATGCCCCCGCCTCGGCGTCCAACTCCTCGGCTTCTGACGCTGCCCGGCGAACTGCCGAGGGTGAGCAGCATCTGATTGCCACTGTGCTGGCTCAGGGTTCCGGGGCCCCTGCTCTCGAAGCCGCCCTTCCCCTGCCGGTCGTCCCCACGAAGACGGCTCCTCAGAAGGGGACGGAGAAAGCCCCGGAGAAGAGACAGAAGAGGGGCCGCGAAGCAGGCTCCACCGGGCCCCTGCTCGAAGACGCCGACTCCTTGCCATTGAGCCGCCCGGCAGAAGAGCTCTGGAGGGAGATGGCCCTCAAGGCTGGTCTAGAGCTGCCCAGCCGTTCGTCCTCTGAGGCGACAAGCGCTGCCCTGGCAGCCGCTCTTCAGGTAATTCCGTGCTAGATCTGAGTATATCTCTTATTTTCCTTGACGTTCATCCTCTGATCCTTATTTTTCCTTCTGTCATCCAGTCTGGGCTTCTAGTCCTTCAGGCTGAAGCTGCCCGGGAGGCCGACCTGAAGGAGGCCAAGGCCAAAGCTGACGCGGCCATCGTTGCGGCCCGGGAGGCCGCTCGTCGAGCGGAGGCGGAGGCGGCCGCCAAGGAGAAGGAGATCGCCGCCCTGCGGGCAGAATCCCGCCAGCAGCTGGCCAGCCTTGAGAAAGCTGGCTTCAAGCTTGTCCCGGTGCACCCTACTGCAAAGGATGCCAGTCCGGAGTGGCTGATCGATACCTCCGGCTATCGGAACACCGGGGAGTTTATGGACTCCGCCAAGGACTACTGCGCCGGGGTCTTCGCCGACCTGTTCGCCGCGGCTCTGGAGGAGATTCCGCCCCGCCAGCGCCTGGCTCGCGGCGTCCGGATCCTTGAGGGTTCTCCCTTGTCTCGCAAGTTCCTATACGAGGTCGGCGACAGCACCTTCGCCGCCGGCTACAATGAAGGGGTAAAGGCCACCCTACCCACATTCGCCAAGCTGCTGGGGCCCGATTTTGATTTGGCGGCCAACACGGATGACGATCTCCTAATCCAGGCGCTAGGGAAACTGAGGAGGGATCAGCGCCGGGAGGAGGCCAAGGCCAGGGGGGAGATTCCAGAGCCGCCGACCCCCGAGCCTGAGGAAGAGGAGGAGGAGCCGAACAAGGGCAGCAGCCGCCCGGGGTCCCCTTTCTTTGTATAATGTCATTTACATTTTTCCATTCCAGCTATTGTAATGTCCGGCCATTAGAGCCGAAGAATATACATCTTTTTGCCCATAATTGCTCCGTGTTCATGATTTCCACTTGTTATTTTCCTTCCTTTTGTCCTTCATTGTATGGAAACCCCTTCGGCGGCCCGATACGCCTTGTAGCAAGGTCAGAGTTCGAGAGGACGTTCGTATCTGTCCTCTACTTGCTTCCAGGCAAGTACTCAAAGTGTTCTGTCAGTGGAGCGACGCTCGTCGGCGGTTTATGGTGCATGCTCGAAGTGTAGACATAGGAACGTATTTCTCAGCGCCAGCTCTTGATAACGATGTCCGCCCGTCGTCGTGTGATATGAACACTCAACCCATGCGGGGGACGTTCGTCGGTTCTGCGTGCTCATCTGGCACGGAGTGTGGAAAGGCGACGTTCATCCTCCGCCCACCACCAATGGATGTGACTTTTCCTTCGTCCCTTTTGTGTCCATTGTTTGTAGTATAAGGAATCCTTCCGGCGTCTCGACACATCTTTTTATCGCCCACGCGGTATCTTGACAGTGGGAAGATGTTCGTCGGTAGTTGCCTTGTCAGTACATGTTTCGAGTATGGACATATGGGCGTATTTCCCTGAAACAGCGCTTGGTGACGACGTTCGTCCATATTTGCGTGACATAAAAAACTGGTGTGCTGCAAGAGGGACGTCGCCAGTTGATTCGTGTGCCCTCGCCAGCCGCCGATGCTAGGGTCAGCCGGGGAGTTAAGGAAGCAAGGGAGGTTGAATGTCTTCAAATTCCTCCGAGCCGGTGACCCCCCCTCAAGGGACGTTCGTGGCACGGGCCCGGATGCCTATCAGGATGGAGTCAAATTGCTTCAGGCCACCCCCACCGGGCGTCGTTTTCTTGACGATCTCGCCGATGACACCTACCGCAAAGGTATGGTTGGGCTAGTAGCGGAGAATCTCCCCACGTTCGAGCGTCATTTCGGGGCTCCTTTCGATCCGGAGGCGGCTGGTTTTGACGTCTTGATGGCAGACGCTCATGCAGGGGCCCTCGAGCTGCTGAAGGAGCAGGCGGAAGCCAGAGCTAGTGAAGAATGCAAGCAGGCTCTTGCTAAGGTTCCAGCTCCGGACGTTGATCAAAAGTGATTCTCCGTTCATGACCTTGTACTTGTACAACTTTTTCCATTATTTTCATTGTCTTGTAATCTCCCGGCCAATAGTACCGAAGAATAAAAGAATCATTCTTTGCTCCTTGCTCTTCTGGCTTTTTTTTTTTTTTTTTTTTTTTTTTTTTTTTTTTTTTTTGGAGTCTTTTAGTCTTCGTTCGTCCTTGGTCCCTGGTCCCACCGGCGTCCCTACTTCGAGGAGACGTTCGGTGTCCGCCGACATCGCTAGGATGAACGGGTTTATCTACATCGAGATTCCCCCCTTTTCGTTCGTCCGTGGTCCTTTTAGCCTTACCGACGTCTCTTGCTTCGAAGAGGACGTTCGGTACCCAAGGACTCGCAGGGACGAACAGGTCTACCCTCACGGGTCCCCGACTTTGTTACCCCACGTCCATCGATCCATGGTCATTTGTGGGATAAACAGGTTTATCTTGGCAGGCTCCCTTGGTTCGTCTAGCCCCCTCCGCGTCTCTACTAACCTCTACACCGAGAGGCGTTCGTCTTCGGCGGTTGGAGAAGATCTGGCACACCCGGGCAAGATTCCCTTCTACATAGGAGCACCTCTCCTCTTCTCCCCATTTTTTTTTTTTTTTTTTTTTTTTTTTTTTTTTTTAGGTGGAGGCAAACCATACTCTTCGTTCGTCCTTAGTCCCTGGTCCCACCGGCGTCCCTACTTCGAGGAGACGTCCGGTGTCCGCCGACATCGCAAGGAGGAACAGGTTTATCTACATCGAGATTCCCTGGTGCTTCGTTCGTCCTTGGTCCCTGGTCCCACCGGCGTCCCTACTTCGAGGAGACGTCCGGTGTCCGCCGACATCGCAAGGAGGAACAGGTTTATCTACATCGAGATTCCCTGGTGCTTCGTTCGTCCTTGGTCCCTGGTCCCACCGGCGTCCCTACTTCGAGGAGACGTCCGGTGTCCGCCGACATCGCAAGGAGGAACAGGTTTATCTACATCGAGATTCCCTGGTGCTTCGTTCGTCCTTGGTCCCTGGTCCCACCGGCGTCCCTACTTCGAGGAGACGTCCGGTGTCCGCCGACATCGCAAGGAGGAACAGGTTTATCTACATCGAGATTCCCTGGTGCTTCGTTCGTCCTTGGTCCCTGGTCCCGCCGGCGTCCCTACTTCGAGGAGACGTCCGGTGTCCGCCGACATCGCAAGGAGGAACAGGTTTATCTACATCGAGATTCCCTTCTTTATCGGTCGTTGGTGAGAACAGGATTTTAGAAAAAACAGGGGCCTTATTATTGACGACGTCCGGCCATTTTACATGTAGTGGGAATAATACAAGGACAACAGCCCCTAACTATTGATAGAATTTCTTCAAGTGTTCTACATTCCACATCCCGGCGCGGTTCCCCTCCAGGGTGTGGAGGAGGAACGTCCCCTGGTTATATCTTCTGATGACCCGGTAAGGTCCTTCCCAGCTTTTCGCCATTTTGCCGCCTTCGAGCGGCTTGCTCTTCTCTCTTTTCCTGAGTACGAGGTCCCCGGCCTCTATTTCGCGGAATTTCACGGCCGTGTTGAAGTATCTCTGGGTGGCCCTGTGATACTCTTCCATGCGACGAGCCGCTAGGTCCCTCCGTTCCTCAATGAAATGGAGCTCCGCTCGTAGGTTGGTCTCGTTGTCCTCCGGCTGGAAGTACTTGGTGCGATGGGTAGGTACCAGTACCTCCGTTGGTACTTTAGCTTGGAACCCGTAAGCCAAGGCAAAAGGGGTTTCCCCAGTCGCCGTCCTGGGCGTCGTCCTGTACGTCCATAAAACATAATTCAGCTGCTCCGGCCAGGTGGAGGTGTAGTCTTCCAACTTCTTCTTGATCCCGTCCATGATGGTCCGGTTCATGTTCTCCACTTGGCCGTTGGCTTGCGGGTAGGCCACCGAGGCCTTAGAGTGCCTGATGCCCCACTTCGCCAAGTATGCCTCAAAGCCTCTGCCGACGAACTGCCGACCGTTGTCTGTGATGATCTGCTCCGGGATTCCGAAGCGGCAAATGATGTTCTGCCAGACGAACTTCTGGCACTGGAATTCAGTGATGGAGGCCAATGGTTCGGCCTCGACCCACTTCGTGAAATAATCAACCGCCACAATGACGAACTTCCTTCCACCCGCAGCCGCTGGCAGAGGACCCAGCAGGTCTACGCCCCACCTAGCAAATGGTAGCGCGATGGTCATCGGGGTGTAGAAACTCGCCGGTCGGCCAGGGACAGGTGCATACTGCTGGCATACTGCGCACTTCCGCGTGTGGTTGAAGCAATCCTGCTGTATGGTCGGCCAGTAATAGCCCTGCAGGATGATTTTCCTGGCCAAGGTTCGGGGGCCCTGGTGGCTGGAGCAGATCCCTTCATGAATTTCCTCGATTACCGCCGCTGCTAGGCTCGGCGGGAGGCATCTGAGGTAGGGTCCGCCGAACGTCTTCTTGTAAAGTTGCCCATCAATGAGTTCAAAGTTAGGGGCACGCCTCTTGATCCACGCAGCCTTCCCTGTACTGCCATCATCTTCAGGCTCAGGGAGTGTCCCATCTCTGAGATAATCTGCTATCTCCTTGGACCAGTTAGGTTCGGCCACGGAGATAACCTCCACCTGGATGACGTCCGTCGCCGGTGCTGGGAATACTTCCTGCCTAACGAAGCCTCTGATGTGTCGGGGGATGCTTGATGCCAGGTCATCGGCTGGGGGGTTGCTCAATTTTGACAGAATGTCCGCCTCTGCATTCTCCACCCGCGATACCTGCTCAAGCACCACCTGCTCAAATTGTGCGGTCTGTTCCTCCGCCAGCTCTTTGTAGACCTTCATTCTCTCTTCCCTGGTTTCGGCGGTGCCATTCATCTGGGTTACCACCAGCTGGCTGTCCATTCTCACCTTCAGACGAGCTGCTCCGAGGGCTTTCGCGCATTTCAACCCTGCGATAAGTGCCTCGTATTCGGCCTCGTTGTTGGTGACCTTGAACTCAAATTTCATAGAGTAGTAGGCTTTGAAACCCTCGGGAGAAGTGATCACTGCTCCTCCGCCGCAGCCCCGCGCACTTGAGGCCCCATCGGTGTACATCTCCCACCAATTATCGAAGTCGTTGCTGTCATGGGTTTCGTCCTCGGTGCGCGCGGTGCATTCTGCAATGAAGTCTGCCAGTGCTTGTCCCTTGATCGTCGGCCTTGGTTTGAAATCCACGTCATACTGGCCGATCATCAAGGACCATTTCGTTATCCTTCCGCTTGCCATTGGGTTCCTGAGGACTGTGGCGAGGGGCTGCGTCGTGTAGATAGTCACCGGGTGTGCTTGGAAGTACGGTGCCAGGCGCTTGATGGATGCAATCAGGGCGAGTATCGTCTTTTCCATCAGTGTGTACCTCGTCTCGGGACCATTCAGCGCTTTACTTACAAAGTATATTGGCCGCTGGACGCCTTCAGATTCCTTCAGCAGCACGGCACTCACGGCCAGATCGGCTACTGCCAAGTACATGTATAATCTCTCCCCGGGATCCGCCTTGGTGAGGACGAGCGGGGAGGAGAGATACATCTTGAAATCTTCGAAGGCGGCCTGACACTCCGGGGTCCACTCGAAGGGATTGGCCTTCTTCATGATCTGGAAAAAGGGGATCGCCTTATCAGCTAGTTTGGACAAGAATCTGCTCAGGGCCGCCAGACGCCCGGTGAGTCGCTGTACATCCTTTAGGTTCTTCGGGGCCTCCATGTCCACAATTGCCTTCACTTTCTCCGGGTTAGGCTCGATCCCCCGCTCGCTCATCATGTAGCCGAGGAACTTGCCGCCCCGGACGGCGAAGGCACATTTCTTCGGATTGAGCCTCATGCTGGCCCTTTCCATGATGCCGAAGACCTTTTCCATGTCCTGGACATGGTCCTCCTTTCTCTTGCTTTTTATCAGGATGTCATCCACGTAAGCTTCCATTGACTTTCCAAGTACGTCTTTGAACAACATCCCAATCATCCTCTGAAAAGTAGCCATGGCGTTTCTCAGGCCGAAAGGCATGACGATGTAGCAGTACACGCCGTCCGCCGTAACGAATGCCGTTTTTTTCGGCATCATCGGGGTGCATGAACACCTGATGGTAGCCCCTGAATGCGTCCATGAAGCTGAGCAGCTCGCAGCCTGCTGTCTCATCCACCAGCAGGTCGATCCTCGGGACAGGGTAAGGGTCCATCGGACAAGCTTTGTTGAGGTCCGAGTAATCGACGCACATCCGCCAAGTGTCGCCCTTTGGGGCTAGAACCACGTTGGCCAACCACTCCACGTGGATGACTGGCCGGATATGTTTGATGCTGAGGAGAGTTGCTGTTTCCTTCCTGATGAAATCGCGTCGGTCGGCCGCCATATATCTCTTCTTCTGTTGTATAGGCTTGGCATCCGACCGCACGGCGAGTTTATGGCATATGAGGTTGGGGTCGATGCCCGGCATGTCCTCCGGCCCTCTGGCGAACAAGATCCTGAACCTCCGGAGGACGGCTATGACCCCTGCCCTGATTTCTGGCTCTAGATCCGCACCAATGGACACCTTCCTGTCCGTCGGATCGTCGAGTTCAATTTCCTCCAGCAGAGTTGCTGGTTCCAGATGAGCGTCCAAGTCGGCCTGTTTGGCCTTTTCGGAGATGCTGTTGACCCGAGCCTCCCGCTCGTTGAGCTTCTCCATGGCCTTCGTGTAGCAGGCCCTGGCCATATGAGGGTCCGTACGTGCCACCCCCACTCCCGTGTCGGTGGGGAATTTGATGCATGAATGTCGTACGGAGCATATGGCCCCCAAGTCTTCCAAGCCGGGTCGGCCCAAAATGGCATTGTGGGCGCACTTCAGGCGGACCACGACGAACGTCATGCTGATCCGGGCAGTGTGAGGGCCGTCGCCGACCTCTACCGGTAAAATGATGGTGCCCTCAGCGTCAATGCAATCCCCGGTGAAGCCGGACAGCGGGGTGCGTAGGGGGTGCAGCATGTCCTTCCGGAGCCTCATTCCTTCGAAAGCCTCCCAGTAGAGGACGTTCACACTGCTCCCGGTATCAACGAGGACGCGACGGACGATAGCATCGTTCACGTCCATGCTGATCACCAGCTCGTCTCTGTGCGGCGCCGGTGACATTGGCAGGTCAGCGGGGCCGAAGGTAATTGCCTCGGCTCTATTGCGCTTGGTGGGGGGTGCTGATACGGAACCCACATAGAGTGACCTCTCAAATTTTTTCCGCTCGGCGGGTGTATCCCCTGTCTCAGCGCCCCCGAAGATCACCTTGATCTCCAATTTCTTCTTCTTGCCCTTCGGGCCGAGGGATCCCTCCGGACGTTTATCTGCACTTCGATAATCCACGTCCTGAGGTTCTGCCTCGCGCCGATCGTCGCGGCGCCATGTCTTGTGCCTTGAGTTCGGCTTCTGCTGGCTGTTTTTGTTCAGCAGCTGGGTGAACTCGCCCAGGCACCCCTGACGGATCAGCTCGTCGATCGCTTTCTTTAATTGGTTGCAATTATCCGTCAGGTGGCCGGTCCTCTGATGGTATTCACAGTAGGCCGATTGGTCGTGCCCCATATGTTTATTCATATCCTGGGGTTCCGTTAGGAGGCCCTTGTCCTTGATGGCCTCAAAGATTTGGCTCACTGGATAGGCCAATGGGACATAGCGGTCGTCCGGCCGTGCTTGAGTATCCCCGGACGGAGCCTTCCAGGGGACCATCGCCCCGTCTGTCCTCTTCTTTTTGTTTGGGGGGGAGGGCCCGGGTCCCGGCCCGGGCCCGAGCCTGTCCGCCATCTTCCGTGGGTGGGCCGCGGGAACTCCGTCCCGCTGCCTGATCTCCTCCTCAATGGAGGCATACTTCTGGGCCCGAGCAAGAACCTCGGTGTAGCTGGTGCCGGGATTCCTCCTTAGGTCCCGGTATAGATCCCCTGTGGCCAGCGCACTGGTGAACATGTTGGTGGCCAGACGTTCGTCCAGATCGTCGACCTGTAGGACCTCGTCCCTCCACCTTACCAGGAACCTAGCCAGCGGTTCGTCCCGCCCTTGTTTGATGTGGGCGAGAGCCGTGACGTCCTTCCTGGGGGTGGTGCTGGCAGCAAACTGCGCCATGAACTGCTGGGAGAGCTGTTCGTATGAGTCGATGGTGCCTGGCCTCAACTGGCCGAACCATTCTTGCGCCGGCCCCCTGAGGGTGCTGAAGAACAATCTGCAGATGGCCTCGTCTGATGCTCCCAGCATGGATAGGTTCCCTTGGTAGCTCATCAGATGGGCCTTGGGATCGCCAGCCCCATTGTACACCAAGTTGCCCGGGGGCCTGCAGTCCCGGGGAATCTCGACGCTCATCACCCGTGGAGTAAAGGGAGATGTGAGAGAGAAAGAGGGTGTAGCCGAGCCAACGTCCGCCCGCCTATTCATCTCGGCTATCTGCCTTTCCATGGCCTCCAACCTTGCATCCTGTGCGGCCCTTCCGGGGGACACAGGGGGCGCGGCTTCGGGGACGGCATTCCGCTGAGCGGCCACAGCACCGTGCGGCCGCCTAAAGATCTGCGCACCTCGCCGTTGGAAACGTCGTCCAACGGTGTTGATCCTCGGGGTCTCGTCTCCCCGCGGGATTTGGCGGGGGGACTGATGGTGTGTGAGCCCTGGATGCAGCGATGCTGACTCTGGTTCGCCCTCCCGTTCCACGGGAGCCTGAACCCCCACCTAGCCGCTCATGGACAGAGGGCCGGTGGTCGCTGGATCCTGTCGTATCGTCATACGACTGCATGCGACGTATGGGAGAGAGGGGCGTTCGCTGGGTACTTGCAGAGTACACCTGGTTTTGGGCCTCCCTCTCGTCTGCCAAGCGACGCATGGTGTCTGCGAGTTCCCGCATGAGGCGAGGATCCTGCCTGGCCTCCAGAGGAATGAGGTCAGTGATGCCCCCGTTTCCCCCGGAGGTCCATATTGTTGCGGATAGTTCCGAGTTCTGGCCGCGATTCCGGCGGCTTGATTCCAGACGCTCGGAGAGATCACGCTGATTGTTGCTTCCTGACATCGTGTTTGCTGTAGGTAGACTTAGTAGCTGCTTGGGAGAGTTTCTGGAAACTTTTTGCTCAGTATTCCCACAGACGGCGCCAGTGTTGAGGTTTATTCCTTCAACCCGTGGACCCAACACGTAAGCCCAAAGGTTTCGAGTGGAGTGAGTGTATGAATGTCTAGCCCAACAACTATTAGATGAATCAGGAGACAACAGTGATAGCAGGCAATGTAAATAGGTATTATTAACTCCGTAATAACTCCCCTAAGTACAATCTACTCGCTAAACAAGGCACGTCGGCCGTTCGTCTTACAAGGCACTTAGAAATGCTGCAAGTAAGAATGCTGAAGCTAGTATGCTAAGAATAGAAAGTTGCCAACCCCTTACAATGAAATAAATGCTTCTATTTATACCCGCCAATGGGCAGGTGGCTGTACTGACGTGGCAGCCTGTGGACCGCTGGTGTCCCAACTACCAAATCTTTAGCATTAAATGCACTTCCCGCCAGAATCTAGGTTTCCCGCCGGAATAGTGGGGACGTTCGTCCACCCGGGAAGTGAGTTGGATTCCTCCAAGTGACCCTTGAGGGATATTGGCTGTTCGTCTCCTGGCCTTGATGGATTCTCACCATGTGGGCTGGGTCTCCTCCGATGACTATGGGCTTGCTCAGGAGACGTTCGTCGTCACCCCTGATGGCCCGTGGCTCCGCTCCTTGTCCCTGCTTAGACGTTCGTCGGGATGAGCCGCTGGGCCTGAGTCCTCCAACACCAGACGTTCGTCCATGCTTAAAGTACATGGGCCTGTGGGCTGGCCTAGTTTCTAGCTGGACGGTCGTCTGGCAAAATGGGTTAGTGGGCCGGACCTCGGCTTGGGCCCTTAACCCAACAATACTTTTTTATTCCACATACAAAACTTAATTGAAGGAAGTAAGTTAACAATAAAACATACTCCCTCCGTCCCAATATAAAAGGCACATTTGCGTTTTCACACATTTTTAGGGTGAACACTGTTTGAACACTGTTTGGCACTGTTTAGACACTGTTTGGCACTGTTTGGACACTGTTTTGCAGTGTTTTGTTTGCCAAAAAGGGAAATGTGCCTTTTATATTGGGACGGCACGAAAAGGAAAGTGTGCCTTTTATATTGGGACGGAGTGAGTACTTTCTTGACATTATCCTTCATATCAGGAAGTGGGTGGTGCTCGGGTATCTCTCCCTGCACGGCTGCACCACGTCCATGGCTAGCACCACTTGTTATAGATCGGTTGATAGATGTTTCTAGCTCCATGTAGAATATAAACGTGAAAGCTCATAGATGAGCATAGTGTCCCGGAGAAATGATATTTATAGATTTTAGACCAAATATAAAGATTCCAAATTTATAAAAATCGGAACCAATCTTCTGCATTAGAATAGAAACGCCGCCGCATCCCCTCACGCGACACGCCGAAACCGCCTCACGCCTTCCTTTGCTGCCTCCGCTGCGTGGTAGTCTGTTTCTCACTATCTCACTTCTAATCTCCCCAACCCCCAGGCAACAGGTAAGTCATAACTCATAAGTGTTTATTCTTTATTTTTTTATTTATTTCAGTTTAAGTAGCTAATAGCTTGAAATCTTGATTCTTGAGATTGAGTGTGTGGCTGTTTTATACGAATTTTTAAGAATGTTAAATGTGAGTTTCTTCTACTATTGGTGAATAATTTGTGTCATTATGTGATTTCATTTGTGAAATTGAAAATTAGGATTGTCATGTTTTAACATATTTTTTTTTCGATAACATGTAAGTATATTAGAAATCGAAAAATAGCATTTTACAATGCATCAAATCCAAGTCAAAATGACTATCTAAGCTAGAATAAACTAACCTAGATATAATGCGTCAAAATAATGGGACATGCCCCACCTCACAAATTAATGTTACAAATAGTCTCTCAAATCCAAGATTTGGACCAATAAAATCAAACAAAAACTAGCTTCAACAGGTTCCTAATCTAAACATCCAAAGAAAGCCCGGAAAGGAGTAGTGAATTTAGCATCAAAACAAACCTCCCCTTTCTTCTTTGTAACTCCCGGTAATCCCTCTAGACATCTTGCAGTGAAAGTTAAGCCCTTTTTATCCAAATCGTCCGTGAGTCGAAGGGAAGTATCCACTCGAATCACACTAGCCCGCACAAATCTAAATGGTTTGACAACCAACTTGAGTGTCTTACCGTTAACCATCTCACATTTGATGACAACATCATGTTGGTGCAAATCATTCTCATCCGTAACTAACCTCTCAATATCTTCCAAAGCGGTCACAGATTGTTCATTTGAGCTTTTCACAACTTCTGGAGACCTTTGGGCAACCTGGGAATCAGACTGCGGTTTAATCCCGGTCGGGTTTGTGGCTGGCCCGGTCGGGTTATGCCCCTGGACAGTCATATTTTCATGAAACCCGGTCGGGTTAGGGCCTGGCCCGGTCGGGTGGATCTCCTGGGCAGATTCTGCCAGACTGGGTTGGGCAGCGGGTTCAACAGTTTCCACAGTTTCCGCAAGTATGTTTTCCTTTCCCCCAATTTTTATTTGTTCATCTTCACCTTTCTCACTTGATTTCACCGTATCATCGTCCTTTTTTGCTAGCTTATTGCAAATAAACGGGTGGTGCCCATATATCTTACAATGGAAGCAAAAATTTGGGAATGTTTCATACACCACAAATTGTTTAACTACCTTTCGGGATGGTAGTCGAATAGGAAATGAAAGTGGCGGTTGCTTTGAAATATCAACTTCAATAAGCACTCTAGCAAAGTGGTGGTTAGACCTATCATGTGTGACTTTGTCCGTAGCCAATGGGACACCAACCATGGATGCAATCTCACTCAAAGCATCCTCATTCCAAAGTTTCAAGTGTAAGTTAGGGAATTTAACCCAAATAGGCACTTTGAGAAACTCTTCATCATCAAAGGAAAAATCATCCGATAGTGCTTTTAACATAAGTAGTTTCCCAAAAATGGTGTAAGGTCCCTCTTTCAACACTTTTGTCCTATCATCCTCACTTTGGAATTTAAATATCACCCAACCCTTATCATGGGGCTTAATAATGCACTTAACACCCCATGTGTTCTTCAAATCATAAATCGCTTTTAGACCGGGAAATTTTCCGGTGAAACAACCGACTAAACAAAAACCCCACATTTCAACCATACTAGGCATAATTCTATCGGAAAAGTCAATGGTTGTGCCACTAGGCGGGATGTACCTCAATTTAAAGCCATTCGAGGGTGCCCGATTGTCCTTAAAAAGGGAGGACCAAGGAGTAGCACTCCCTGAGGTAGCTGCAGTAGTAATAGCCTGGGTTGTCACAGTATCATTCTTTGAAACTTGGTTTTCTTTCCCAGCAGCATTTTCTACCCCCTTAGCTTTCTGCCCAGCATTCTTGGAGCCCAAAATCAGAGGCTCATCCTCAGTTACAGCAGCTTGTTCACGAGCAGGTTTCCCAGAGTTTAACACTGCCGATGTTAGTCCAGGGAACTCCTCCCCTGCTCCATCCAGCAGCGCAAACGAGGACCTGATAATTCGCGAAGTTGAGGATTCGCCATTGACATACTGTTTCTTCCTCGCCATACTTGCGCACTACGGTAGCAGACCCGTTCACCCGCCTAAGTCACCATCATCTTCACTCTGTTTTTTTTTTTTTTTTTTTTTTTTTTTCTTTATACGCAGGTGGGCCGTTGGAGAAGATGAGCGAAATTCAACTCGATTGGAAGATTGGGAATGGGATATTTGCTTAATCCCTACACCAAGGGGAAGCTAAAGACCCCTCCCAAACAGGCTTTGAACAACGGGAGCTCGAGATAGAGGCGTTGACCTCAAGACGTGAATAGTGTTTCCGCGGAAAGTTTTAGATGAACCAGTCCAGAGACCTCCAAAAAACGAGCTAAAACTTGGAGATTTTGCACCCCAAAAGAGTTTAGGAAGCAAAGCAACCAATTTCCAAGCTCAAAGATCAAGATCAAAGGAGAAATCGAGTAGAGTTATGGATTGGCGAAGAAGAACCTCGGCAGAGGGAGAGAATCAGCTCTCAACTACTCGCAACCCTAGAATTCTCTGTTTTAACATATTAATATGAAGTTATGAAGTTGTTAAGAAAAACGACAAAAATTAAAACATAAAGTAATAGGAAGTATGTTTTTTTAAAGAATAACTAACCAATAATATAGGGCAGAAAGTAATGCATATATCACATATGATAAGATTTACTAACAAAATACACACCTGGTAATGTAATAAAAGGTACTTCAAAATTTAAGCCCTAGCAGAACGGGAAAAAAGCTGAACAACTATAACATTTACTAAACTCATAGACTTACTATTTATAGTAGAACGTTTAAAGAAAGATGAGCGGACACTGTCCAATAGGTGATAGAGGAGGATGCCTCTCACTAGCGCAAAAGACGAGGTATATGACGCGCCTGTTAAACCAAAATGTGTGGTGTATTTCTTTCACATTACAATCTAAATCTATCCAATTATAGATTTTAGTTCCCTAATGTTTGGGAACAGATACAATGTTTCGAAAACGTATCTGCTTTAATATGTGTACATAGTTTTTCTTAATAATGTTTAGGAAACCAAAGTTTCTTGTGTAGGTTATTAACTTCAATATGCTTAGAAATGCTTCCTTGAATTTAAATTTTCATCTGTTACATGAACTCTGTACAACTTGTGATGCCAAACAATAGTGATATTAACGCCCTGCACTACGATATTTTATCAAGGATATGTATAACATCTTTTTCCAATATATTCAGCATATTGAAAATACATACAAATATATGCATTTAGCCGAGAAAAGTTGTAGAATATCTATTGGATAGTGAAGTTGTATGACTTGACCACCAATTACAGAGTTAAATTGTTAAATAACCAAAATAGTACCCAAAAATAACCTAAATCAAACCAACTTAAGATCCATAACCAGTTCATGTCTTAAAAAACTGAATTTGAAGTTTGATCATTAGGATCTGTTGACTAATACTCATAGTCATCCAACTCCTTGTTCATGTCTAGACGTCTAGTCATCACACCCTGTTGTGTAACGAAAAAATAAAATCAACGGGGTAAACCGTTGTCTAGATAATCAACGGTAAAAATACTGTTGCCCAGAGCCAAAAGGCTAAAACCAATTTTATTCCAAGATAAGCCAGAATGAATCCTAACAAGGGGTTTAAAAGCCCATCTACCAATTCTCAAACTAGGAAACAAAATCCTAGAAATCCTAATCAACTCCAACTAGGAATTAGAATAAAAAGATCCTAATCAACTTCAAATAGGAAACAAATAATAGAGATCCTAATTAACTCCTAATAGGAAACAAATATTAGAAATCCTAATTAACTCCAAATAGGAAACAAATCAGGAAAATTAAAAAGAATAAATATAAATTAAGCAGCCCGCAACCAGCCCACGAAGGTGGGCTCAAGCCCGTCCCACCTTTAGTAAACCCACGGGGGCTTCTGTCCCTCTTCTTTCAAGCCCAAATTCTGCTTCATATCACACCCATCATCCTCGTCTGACTCTGATAAGAAAGGAACTCCTTCTTTTTGATGAAGTGTTGATGTTGATCTTGATGTCGATGCTCTAGTGTTGTGAGTTGTTTCATTAACACCAGCTGCTTCTTCAACAACATCCCAGATTTCAATTTCATTTTCCTCTGAAGCCTCATAAATAATTTTACTACAAAGGCCATTTTGGTAGCTATATTTTGCTTATCAACCAAATAAGTAGCCCCTTGACTTACTTGTATGTGGCTAAAATGGATGTTAGCATGTTACCAAAAGCTGCGAAATACCATTCCGCAACCTTGCATTTTTATCTTTTTCAATATCCCTATCGTTTATCAGCTGTCTAAAAATGTGTAATCTGCAAAATAAAGATAAGGATATTGACAAGGTAAAATATAACACCATTCCGCGGCCATCCGTCTGCAAACGTGTGTTATCTGCATTACTAGTTCTTCAGCTGCTGTCTCGCTGCCTGCCAAGTCTTTAAAGTTCAGACTTCACGTATGGAATTTTAGCAGCAGCTTCTTCTTTTACGGTTTTAGTTTCAACTTTTTCAGATTTTCAGATGAAAAAATGTGCCCTCCACTGAATTGAAATGCTAGATCCACCCCTGGGTCAACCCACTGGTTGACACCTAGCTGGCCTAGCCTACTTTGGAATCCTACCCAGCCCATGGACCTGCCTGTCATGAATTACCCAAATCTAACCTCTTTGGTCCATTAAGCCTGGTCAAGTTGTCAATATATACACCATACAAATCTAAATGTATATCTAGAATCTCTAAGGGTTGGTTTGCAACCGCTTTTAAAAAAGCACTTTTCAGCTTTTGGCTTTAAAAAAACACTTATTTTCTCAAACACTACAACTTTTATTTTTCTCGGCTTCCGCGTCAAAAGTTCTTTTACTATTTCTATTACACAAAAAGCACTTATTTTACCAAACACTACCCACTTTTACTTTTCAAAATCACTTTTTTTCTCAAACACTATCAACTTTTATTTAATCACTTCTCCTCATTTCATTAAAAAAAGCACTTTTTTAAAAGTAGAAACTGTTGCAAACAGACCCTAATTAATATATTGGGGATATGCAAAAGTGGGGATGCAGTGTAAGTTGTTTTAGGAAAGTTGGATTGTATAGCATGAGTTGTTTGAGCCCTTACATTCTTTGAATGGGGGTAAGTTTCAAACTCTCACTTGGGCTAAAAAACATTGAAAGTTGAGACAGTATAGGAGACTGTCCTCACCTCTTCACCAATTCGCCTAAAAGCCACCATCCACTTAGCTCTTCCGCTTTCAAAGTTGAAGAGTGGACTGGAGTTACTTTTTCTTTAACGGTGATTACGTTCTTATCATTCTTACATTTTCTTTATTCAGCTCTATTGAAAGATTGGGGCAAACAAAATGCATTAATATATAGTGTTGGGTTCCCTCCTTAATTGAGAAGTTAATGAGAATTCTTGAATATTGCGGAGATGTCTAGAATTCTCTAGATGTGTGTAGAGAAATATTGAATGTTCTAGAATATTCCGGAGCTTTCTAGAGAGACGTGGAATTATCTAGAAGCGTGTGGAAGAGTGTAGAATATTCTAGAACATTGTGGAGTTTTCTAGAGAAATGTGGAATTCTCTAGAATCATGCGGAAGTTTGTGGAAGCCTCTAGAACATTCTCAAGCGATGTGGAGTTCTCTAGATCCTTCTAGAAGATTAGAGAAGCTTGTGGATAGTTCTTGGAAGAATCTAGAAATGTAGTGATGTATAGAAAGTTCTAGAGAAGCTTTGAGATGAGTTGTATAAATAGGGGTGAGATTCCTCATTCCTAAATGAGAGAGCCTCTAGAGTGAGAGCCATGAGGAGGTCCTAGAGTGAGAGGCTAGAGAGAGCCTCCTCAAGTGATGAGAGAGAGATCCTTGAGGAGGGCTATTGAGTAAGAGAAGGCCTCCTCTAGAGAGGGATGTGAGAGTGAAGTAGTCTCATACAAAGAGTGATGTGAGCTACTCGTTTACTTGTAAAATATCTCTTGTACATTTCAATTGTATAATACAAAGTGATATTGTTAGATTGAATCTTTGTGTTACAAGTGGGTGGGTAAATGTACAAGAGTCCTTTGAGCTGGTGATCCTGGAAGAGGTCGGTGGTCGTGTATTCCCCAACATATAGATACTACATAGATGTCTAAATCATGTCTTGAAATGTAGCTTAGTTTAATGTTTTTTTATATGAAATTGGTCCAAGCTGTTGTGTTCATTGCTTAAGCATAATAGGATCTGATTTTAATATACTCTCATGCCACATTAAACTGTGCTGCTTCACAAAAGATCAACATAGTAGCAATAGTATGCCAATATATGTTAGTTCGTGCTTTATATTCTACGATGTAATTTGTCTTATTGAATGTAATGCAATGTAATAAAATGCTTATGTAGTGTAATTTTTATTTTATTGAAGTGTTGTCAAACCAGAGGCAATCATGGCATTTTATGGGGAAGAGGCCATTTCTTTTATGGAACAAGCTCTACAACAAGCTAAGTTTGCGTTAGACAGCCTTGAAGTGCCGGTAGGTTGCATCATCGTAGAGGATGGTGAGGTCATTGCTTCGGGAAGGAACCGAACCACAGAGACAAGAAATGGCACTAGGCATGCTGAGATGGAAGCCATTGATCATCTACTTGAGAAATGGAAGAAACGTGGAGTTTCACCGGGTGAAGTTTATGAAAGATTTTCAAAATGTGTGCTTTACGTAACATGTGAACCATGTATAATGTGTGCAGCGGCCCTTTCTTACCTTGGAATTAAAAAAACTGTTTATGGATGCTCAAACGATAAGTTCGGTGGTTGTGGATCGATATTGTCATTGCATGCCGGGGTTGGAGCGGCAAATAAGGGCTTTGAATGTGTTGGAGGTGTGATGGCATCTGAAGCAATATCTCTTCTGCGCAGCTTCTACGAACAAGGAAATCCAAATGCGCCCAAACCTCACAGACCGCTGAAACAAATGAACACATGATGTTCTTCATAATGTGTCGATTCAGCCTTTGGGCTGAGGGGGATTGTCAGCCCCTTTTTATAGAAATTGTAATGAGTCCCTGATGGTTTCTTTCACTTGATCATGAAAAGGCAATTGTTCTCTTACCTCTGTGTTGCATGTCCATGTTATTAGACAACAAATATCATATTACTCACATTTGAGGCAATGCTCTTTTTGAGTGGCGTATGATTAGACTTCGGGCACTTGTCAATTAATAATTTGAAGAGGCAACCCAAAGTTAGACCATTAGACTGTTACAGAAACTAGAAATGGTTCCTAGTAGTACTTTCATCTGAAATGCTGTTAGGCGTCTTTAATTTGGAGTAGCAGTAAATCTGCTGGTAAGATCAGATAAAAGTTATTCATATTTTGCACAAAAGTGTTTGTTTTTGTTTGTTTTGTATTTGACGTCATATATTAAACTATAACACATACATATGTAGATTTAAGTTATAAGTCGTTCACATCTTAGATGATTTTTGACGAAATTTTTTCTCAAGGCTCAACTATGGTGGATTCATCGGTTTTGCAATAATCTTCTGCCTATAAACCTCAATTTGTTGAACACAAGTTGTAGAGACTTGACACACGCTTTCTTCACACTTAAGTGTAGTTTCAGACAACTCTAGTTCATTATGAAAATACATCAATGACATGTATGGGAGTGGTCTGTGTAGACCACATACCACATTCAGATTCTTCCATGTAGGAGGTAATGAGTTTAAGTCACTGAGGTGAATATGGGAGGATTTTCACAAATGATGATCATCTAACTCTCGGGAATAGCTTGACTAGTTATTCAATCAGTGCTTCGTCCAACAGTTGGTGGTGGTTCCCTCAAAAACTAAGCTGGGAACTTGAGACACGTGAAACCAATCGGTTAGAGAAATTTCTATTGCGCAATGATGTATAGATGAGTGTTGGGGATCTAAATTATTGTTTGAGCGACTCTCAAGAGTATGGAATAGATTTTAGGAGTCTAGGATTAGTCTAATGTAGTTGGGATCACCGATCACCGGGTGTTAACAAAAATTGAAAATACAACTATGAAAATTTCTATATTGCAATCATTTTGGCTTTGTGTTGATATTTCACTCCAACCCAGAAGTTGGAATCAAACAAAGTGAATGTAGCAGCAAGTTGCAAATTAAAAGGATTCTTTCCTTTGAAGGTGGAGTTATTATTTCTTTCAAAGTGGAGAGGGTCATTTTTTATTCATTAGAACACAGCTAACTCGAGTGTCGTTTCGCAAATATATATTCGGAGTTCATGCCAATTACTTAACTTTGTTGTAACTTTTTGTTATGTATCATGATGTGCATTGTTTGGTTTATTTACTTTGTATAATATATTCTTTCACAGATTGACAGAGTAGCCGCAGCGGACCACTCCATCTTCTCATATCTTTCGCCTTGCTAGCAGCTCTTTAGCCCTCGTCCTCACATAAAAACTGCTTGATGGGGACTAAAAGTCTCCAGTAGATTGATAAAAACTTTTTCTTATTGTGGCTTGCTTTACTTGAGTAGGTGTGTAAGATGCTCTTCTATTAACATTGGCCCATTTTTCTTTGATGATATCACTCATGTACATTTGGTCATTGTGATGATCGCAATATCAATACAGAAAAATAAGAACTTTTTGCAGGAAAAATAGAGAGAGGGAGAGAGAATTTGAGAGAAAGAGATTTAGATCATACTTTTTCCTGTCTGCAAAGTTACGTTCCATACATATTTATATGTTTGAAAAGATAAAGTCCTTATCCATTACACACAGATTATTATATGTAAATTATATAATGGGCTGCTGCCAATATTAAAGTAATCCAATTAGCCCACTAAGATATTTGCTCTCCTGGCCCGGGTCTGGACTATTCCAACCCATCTTCCTTCCCTGGCATAGAACCGACCAGACTGCCAGTGCCCTTTTCTTCCCTTATGTCGCATGAAATCTTGATCTTGCTGAACGATTTGGCCGGAAACATGACAATACCCCCTCCTTTCAGCGATCCTTGACCCCAAGGATCAATCTTTGGAAACATTTTCCTGAAATTAGCCTTAGATACCCAACCTTCCATAATTCCTCCATCTGCTTTTAGGGCTAGGAGTAAAGTTACCCTAGCAGTTCCAGTGGGATCCCTGCAAATTCCCTTCACAGAGGCTGGAGTAATGATAAAGCACCCATCTTTATCAACCGGAGGTATGGTAGTCGACACCTCTGCTCTCGGACTGATACAACGCTTCAAAAGGGAAACGTGGAAAACAGGGTGTATTTTGGTATCTTCAGGTAAGTCTAGCCTGTAAGCAACTCTCCCAATTCTTTCAAGTATGGTATAAGGTCCGTAGTAACGTGCTGCTAATTTCTGGTTTCTCCTCAGGAATACTGAATGTTGTCTGTATGGTTGCAATTTCAGGTAAACTCGGTCCCCCACCTCAAACTCACGGTCAACCCGTCTGTTGTCTGCAAAATATTTCATCCTCTCTTGAGCTAATTTGAGATTTTCTTTCAGCTCCTGTTTCAGCCTTTGTCTGTGGTTTATAAGCTCCCTCACCTCTATATTAGTTAGGGCAGAAGGTGTGGGTATGGATAAGGTCGGGGGTGTGTGTCCATATAAGGCCTCAAATGGGGTAGTTTTAGTACTGGAGTGGTAATTGGTGTTATACCAGTACTCAGCTAGGGATAGCCACTGTACCCACTGCCTGGGATTTTGGTGGGTCATAGCCCTAAGGTAAGCCTCCAAACACTGGTTTAATCTCTCTGTTTGTCCGTCTGTTTGGGGGTGATAAGCTGAAGTATAGCTTAAATGAGTTCCCATGAGCTTGAATAATTCCTTCCAGAAGCCACTTAAAAATACTGCATCTCTGTCAGATAGTATATCTATAGGTTGGCCATGTAGCTTGTACACATTGTCAAGGAACATCTTTGCTACTGTGTGGGCTGTATAGGGATGAGACAAGGGCAAGAAGTGTCCATATTTAGTGAGCCTATCAACAACCACTAGGATAACATCTTTGCCCTGAGATTTAGGGAGTCCTTCAATGAAGTCCATGCTTATGTGGCTCCAAGCTTGGTCGGGAATGGGCAGAGGTTGTAACAGCCCGGGGTAAGGTACCCCGTCAGGTTTAGTCTTGGCACACACCTCACATTCTTTTATCCAGAGGATAATATTGTTCTTCATTCTTGGCCAGTAGAATACCCTCTTAATCCTCATATAGGTTCCTTGTATGCCCGAATGTCCACCTACTGCGGATGCATGCAGTTCTTTGTAGATAGTATGCCTGAGCTCAGTATTACTACCAATGACCAGCCTTCCCTGATATCTCAAAATGCCATCAAAAATCTCAAAATCTGGATGTGAAACAGGATCTTCTAGTTTTTCCTTAATTATTTGAGAGAAAAAAGGATCCTTGTCATAACTTTCCAGGACCTGCTGTACCCAGACCGGTTTAACTGTAGAAAGGGAGTAACATCCTTCCTTGTCCAGTTCCTTTCTTGATAGGGCATCTGCCACCTTATTCTCGACCCCCTTTTTGTATTGTATGTCATAGTTCAATCCTAAAAGCTTAGTTATCCATTTTTGTTGTAAGGGTGTAGTGATCCTCTGGTCAAGTAGGTATTTCAGGGCTTGCTGATCTGTCTTGATGATAAATTTGTGGCCTTGCAGATAGTGTCTCCATCTTTGAATAGCCATGAGCACAGCCAAAAATTCTTTTTCATAGATAGAAAGGCCCATGTGTCTCACTCCCAACTTCTTGCTTAGAAAAGCCAAGGGTCTCCCTTCCTGCATTAGTACTGCCCCGATTCCACTTCCACTAGCATCTGTTTCAATAATGAATGGTTTAGTAAAATCTGGAAGTGCTAGAACTGGCGTAGTAGTCATGGCAATCTTCAGTTCCTTGAAAGCCTGATCTGCTTCAGGATTCCATTGAAAAGCCCCTTTCTTCAGTAATGATGTTAAGGGCCTACTAATGATCCCATACCCTTTTACGAATTTTCTATAGTACCCTGTCAGTCCTAGGAACCCCCTCAATTCCTTTAAGGAAGTCGGTGTAGGCCAGTTAACCATTCCTTCAATCTTTTCTGGGTCGGTAGTTACTCCATCCTGTTTAATTATGTGTCCCAAGTAAGAAACCGACTCCTGCCCAAAAGTACATTTACTCTTTTTTGCATATAACTTGTGACTCCTTAATATTTCCAAAACACTCTTAAGGTCCTGAATGTGCTGTTTCCAGTTAGGGCTGTAGATTAGTATATCGTCAAAGAATACTAGCACTGATTTCCTCAACAGTCCCTTAAAAACCTGGTTCATCAAGGATTGAAACGTGGCTGGGGCATTGCACAACCCAAAGGGCATGACTAGGAATTCATAGTGCCCGTGATGGGTTCTGAATGCTGTGAGGTACCGGTGCTCCGGGGACATTAGGATTTGGAAATACCCAGATCTGAGGTCTATCTTTGAGAAATACTTGGCTCCCTTTAGCTCATCTAGTAGCTCATCAATAATAGGAATAGGAAAATCATGCTTAATGGTAAGGCTGTTAAGGTATCGGTAATCCACACACATTCTCCAGCTGCCATCTTTTTTCTTCACTAGTAGGACAGGTGAGGAAAAAGGGCTCTTGCTGGGTTGTATTTCCCCTGACTCTAGTAATTCAGCCACAATTTTCTCTATTTCATCTTTTTGACTGTGTGAGACCCTATAAGGGTACTGTTGTTTGGGAATGCTTCCAGGCTTGAGCACTATCTGATGTTCAATACCCCGGGGTGGGGGAAGGGAATCTGGTTTTTCAAAAACATCTGTAAACCCTTCCAAAATTTCCCCCAATTCGTGAGAAGGATCTCTTCCAGGTTCTTTCACCTTGATCCAGTACACTTCTTCAATAGGGCTTGGAGTTTCCTCATGTAACAACTTATATAGTGTGTGACAAGTGATTAAAGGGCACTTGTCCTCGCACAACAACTCAATCTGAACATCACCCGAGGTAACTGTGACACTCATTTTCTTATAATCAAATTGCACAGGTGTAAGGTCTCTAAGCCAATCCCCCCCTAATATTAAATCAAATTCTTTTATGTCCAGAACTCTAAGGGTATAGTTGAAGGTGTGATGTTGCATTTCCCAAACCAGGTTGGCCACTTTGGTGCTACTGCACAACTGATTTCCCCCTGCAGTGGTAACTTTCAAAGGAGTTGTCCCTTCCTCCTTGCAGCCAAATTTCTGAACTGCCTCCTGACTGATAAAGCTTAAGGAAGCCCCTGAATCAAGCAGTATATGTACTTTATGCTTTCCCAATTTCCCCCACAGTGTCATGGTAGTCGATCTCTTTTTATGGTTGTTAGTATCGAGTGTTAAAAGTACCTCTTCTATGTTTCCACCCTCATTTTCTTCTGGCTGTTCTTCTGTATCGGCATACTCTGGTGCATCCCCTGCTAATAAAACATAAACATGTCTATGCTTACATCTATGACCTGGGGCAAACTTTTCATCACAGTTAAAACATAACCCCTTCTCTCTTTTGACTGCCATTTCAGCAGGTGAAAGCAATCTAAAAGGTGGTGCAGTATTGCTTGGTCCATCTCTTGTCATCTTCTGGAAATTCAGAGTAGCATCCATCCTTTTAGCAGGTATAGGAGTCCCATAAACTGATTTTCCACCCACCCTAAGCCTCTTAGTGATGGTTTCCAAGGTCATCAGCTGATTTCTTACCAAATCAATGGTACCATCCAAAGTGCTAGGTTTGAACAGTTTAACAAAAGCCTTTAGCTCTTCGGTAAGCCCGCTGATAAAACTAGATATGAAATACGGTTCTGGAAAGGTTTCCTTGTGCAGTAATATCATACATGATTTTAGTTCTTCAAACTTCTCCACATAATTTTCATAATCATTTCCCATTTTGAGTTTATTAAAATCTTCAATGACAGTAGATGCCTTTAAGCCTTCAAATCGAGATGATATTACCCCTAGAAATTGATCCCATGATAACACTGTAATGTCTTTGTCCAGGTGTTGATACCATGACAAAGCCTTGCCCTCAAAATGCATAGTGGCTAATGTGACCCTTTGATCGGAATGAATGTGGGGCATTAGCTTAAAGTAGCCTTGACATTTGATAATCCAGGAACGTGCATTGGATCCATCAAATTTAGGGAAGTCAAGTTTTGGGAAAGGAAGTTGTGAGTGGTAATTACCAGTATGTTCATGATTTTTAAGCTTCTGATTAGATCTCTCTGTGTACAGGTTATGCAGGCCCAAGGCGTATGGCGGCTCCCCCAGAATAGATGCTCCTTCTGCGAAAGGGTTTCTGTTTTGATCATCCTCCCCAGATCTGTACTTCCCCTGAGATGAGCTTGAAGAAATATGGGGATCTGTCTTCATTTCCATTGTCTCCATCCTCCTTTGTATATTCTCCAACTGTTTGAGGATTTCAGCTTGAACCTCCTGATTTTTTTCTTGAAGCTCCCCCTGCCTTATTTCTGCAGCTTCCCGTTTGAGGATCTCCGCCAGCAAGGACTGCTCTATTCGTTTTTGCCCTTCCAAGCACTCTTTTAGTCTGGTTCCTTCTGCCATCTTCCTGGATCAGAAGGGCTCTGATACCAGATGTGATGATCGCAATATCAATACAGAAAAATAAGAACTTTTTGCAGGAAAAATAGAGAGAGGGAGAGAGAATTTGAGAGAAAGAGATTTAGATCATACTTTTTCCTGTCTGCAAAGTTACGTTCCATACATATTTATATGTTTGAAAAGATAAAGTCCTTATCCATTACACACAGATTATTATATGTAAATTATATAATGGGCTGCTGCCAATATTAAAGTAATCCAATTAGCCCACTAAGATATTTGCTCTCCTGGCCCGGGTCTGGACTATTCCAACCCATCTTCCTTCCCTGGCATAGAACCGACCAGACTGCCAGTGCCCTTTTCTTCCCTTATGTCGCATGAAATCTTGATCTTGCTGAACGATTTGGCCGGAAACATGACAGTCATCGGATATCTCCCAATGCCTTTCTATACATTCCTAGGATAAATATGATGTTTGTTAGATCCTCCACATAGGCATGTACAAGTTTATATATTGTTCCAAGTTTATATTGTCATGAAAACAATACACATACAACTGGTAAAGAGTATTTTTCATCTCTCCTTTCAACATTTTCTGTACTTTCGTAACTCTTTATTAACAATGTCTGAATGTATACATTATTTTTTACATTGAACAAAAAATAACTAAAACATATACAAGGCAGTGAAAAAAAGATAGAAACTTCACTGATTGAGTTATGTGCATGTTTGTGCACTATTGATTAATTTATGTAAATTCTGCCACCTGTACACTCTGCACATCATTGAAGATGATATTATACTCTTAAAAACAGGAGGTTTTAAATTTTAGCACTAGAAATGATGAAGTTATCAACGAATTGAACCAATTTCTTTTGTTTCATACTCCGTATTACTCAGTGTTACATACTTACATGAGAACATAAGTAAGGATGAGAGGGCCATATGGTATATATTAGGATTTTTAAATGTCCACAATCATTAACTCACAAAGTACAAGAACCATATTGAACTCAAGTCAATCACAAAACTGTTGGTATTTTACAAAAAAAAAAAAAGATTGGTTCAATACACCTATCAACCCACCCCAATGGCAACTATGGTTGCATCCACCATCAGCCATCCTAAGTCTGGTCGACAAGTAACTGTCTTTCTAATTTATATAATTTTCCAATTTTATTAACATGGTAGGTTTGTATTAATATGATGTTACTCACTGTGTAGTCAAAATTAGAGCTATGTACTCAATTTCATGATTTCTAACATTAATAGTAGCTAGACAGTTAGCAGATGATGATGCCCCCTTCACTTTGATTTGCAAAGAGAGGCTGAATACAACTAACCCAAATTCATAGAATGGATTATTAGAAGCTAAGATATCTTCATACGTGCACAAAAGAGAAGCTTCATTGTTGACGAACTAAAGAACGTGTTAATAGCTGTAGAGCACGAAAAAAAGGATCCATATTGGCGGTGGCGTATCCAAAAATTATTTTCAGTGGGGGCGAAATTTGCAGTAGAAATACGATATTTTAGAAACATAGGCAATAAATAATGAGTTTGTATTCAACAAAAATTAATACGTAACTTTTCATTTCATCCAAAAATTAGATTCACATTTTTGAGAATTTTATATATTAAAATTTCAATTTATAATAAGAAATATTAATGATTCGACTTCACAATGATATACTCCGTAGCACTTATATATATTCTCTCACATTCATGTGTATTACTCGCCCAGTCAATTACTACGTATGAGTGTATGACTATACTAATCTTAACACGAAGAGACCCTATTTCACATTTTCAGAAACCAGTTTACATAGAGGAGGAGATAGATGAACACATTGAATTGATATTCATTAGAGTGTGCTACTAAGAATAGACTAGAGTTCACTTCCTAACAGCTATGACAGGGTCAACCTTGTTCTTCGATCTGTAAGGGTATCCAGACTCCAGTGATCTTTGACCCTAAAAAAATGATGGTTTATTTTTTAATTAGTCTATATGGAAGTTATAAAGGTTAAAGGAATTAATTTAAAAAGTACTCCATATAACATTTAATATGGAGTGAGTTTGGCATTAATTTAGCGGATAATGAATAGTGGATTATATTAAATTGTTAATAGATGATCCAATTAGAGGGTTTGATTAGCGAAATAAATTAGTAAGTTGTAAAATAATGTTTCATAATTTAGTTGTTTGACCGTAGCAATTAGTAGGAAACAACCTATTTCAAAACACTAACCTAAAAGACTGTCATTTGCATGTTTTCATTTCGGGGATTCCGTCCAAAAACACTTCGGCCAAACAATTATTTACCAAAAATGTTTTCACTTATCGTAAACATTAAAAATTATGAAACTGCTTTGTGAGAAATGCCGTTTTCCGAACACCTCAGAGTGGTGAGCTATGTTGGCTGGTATTTTTTGTAAATAGGTAATTTTGATACCAATCAATTGCATTTGTGAAAACATTATCTCAAGTATATAAATATTGCTAGCTAGCTAAACTAAAAAGTGTTACATATTTACTAAGAAATCAATTGGAAAATGATTAATTCATTAAGGCGAAAATAACTTTAAATAATATCAATTGTCTTCCATGTTACCAACTAATACGAACTTTAGAAATAATTTTTAATAATACCAACTAATACCAAGTTATCAACTATCTGAATATATAGCAAAAGTGATACATAGCAAATTTTCACTAAAAATTCCATTATTTAACTCATCCAAAACTAATATCAAAATATAATATAAGGGATCGTATTTCCAAATATCAATTATTTGATGATATGATATTAGTTTTTGATATCTTAAATGGCAAGATTTCTTGTAGAAAAGTAACTCTATCTTATTTTTAGATTGCATTCAGATAGTTGATATTATTAAAAATTATTTCTAAAGTATGTATTATTCTTGGTTCATGAAAGGTAGTTACTATTACAGAAATTACCACAAATAGAAGTAAAAAGTATGGAAAAAATAAAAAATAGGACATTTTATGTTTTTATTCCAAAATAAGACCACATTACTCCTATTTGGAAACATACATGTTTTTTCATTCCATTCTTACCCCTCTTTTAAATATGAGTAAAAGGTAGTCAAAAGTCATAATTAAATGTTTTAATTCTTAATAAATTTGTAAAAAAATAAAAAAATCATAGACAAATAATAAACAAATTAATAAACTGTTTATAAAATTAAAAATTTAAAAAAAATGGTTAAAAAAATGGAAGCCTTTCCCACCGCCTGTAATGACTCCCTGCACCACAACCTCTGAGCGGTGTAAAAAATGCTATTTTTTCTTGAAATGCCAAAAAAAATGACATATAATTCTTGAGAAAGTAAAATGACTTCCCACGGCCCCACAATATGTATAATTAGATGTTATTCGACTGTTGATATGGGAATTCACATTAACTTCAGTCAATGCACTCAGAAAGATAACTCAAATTTCACTTTTTTTATTCTTACACCAATCAGCGTGTAAAATCAAAAATTATATGCTTAATGAAAATATGGCAGATAAATCTGATAAGACGAAAAATAGGATCACCAAACGAGTGAAAGTTTACCAAGATAACGAATGATTGTGATTATGTCAGGATGATAATCTCTATAATACGGAGTATAAGACAAAGTTTCTAACTTTGTGCTCGATATTTCATTCCATACGCAAAATACTTTAAAAAAAATCATTGTGGACTGCAATTCGTACTCTATAGGGCTATAGGCTAGTGTAGGCATAGGGTTATAGACTTATAGGAAGTAAGGACAAGCGGGAAATAATTACGATTACAAAATGATGGAGGGGCTGAATGTGAAGATGGATTTACAAATTAAATGCAGCATTGACGTGACAAGACAAGCCCATACACCTGTGGGGTCACTTGCCGGAGCACTTCTTGGGCTCGGAGTGAAATCTCCCGTCACTCTACCGTTTAACGAATTACTCCCTCCGTCCCAAAATGGTTGGCCAATGTTGACTTGCACGTGAATTAATAAAGTAAAAACTGTGTGGTTGAAATTTGTGTAGAGGAGAGAGAATTAACTTTAGCCACATATTTATTACTTTAAATGGAAATGGCCAACCTTTTTGGGACGGCCAAAAAAGGAAATTTGGCCAACCATTTTGGGACGGAGGGAGTACTACGTATTATTCGAGTTCTCTCATTTTCTTTTGAACAAATTTGGAAAACTGTCATATACGGTCAAATAAAAGGTCAAATAAATCTTTTTATAGGAGGCTCTATCTGACCTTCTCCATTTGAAGTGGTTCAGGGTGGAATTTTTTGATAAAATTTTTTGAGCATCTTATTCATTAAGTCTAGTTTACTCATACCAAATTTCAGCTAAAACTTCAATCGAGAAGGCTTTCAAATGAATTCTTGAAGATAACTGCGCAGTTAAAAGCGCAGTTATCTTCAAGAATTCATTTGAATGCATTCCTGATTGAAGTTTTAGCTAAAATTTGGTATGAGTAAACGAATAAGATGTTCAAAAATTTTCATCAAAAAATGCCACCGGGAACTACCCCAAATGGCGACGGCCGGACAGAGCCTCCAATATAAGGGATTATTTGACCTTTTTAAGTAACTTCGAGGGCCTACTTGATACTTTTCCCAACAAATTTTAAGTAAACAATTATTACTTTATTAATTTCTATGATGTTTAAGAGCATCTTCAATGCTACGATGTGCACGGTGCACATGTGGCATGAGAGAGATAGACACAAAATATGACATTTCTCTCTCCTTCTTTCCATGGTCATATGTGTTTTTGGTAAGTTTTGGCCTGCAATGTCAACCAGAATGTCTACACTAGACATTGTGTAGAAAAACTTACCAAAATAATGTAAAATCTTTCAAATAAGGAGATAGATATTTTATTTATTGTTTTTTAGTTGGTTTTTTCTCGTGCCACGTGTGCACCGTTAACGTTTTAGCATTGAAGATGCTCTAAACTTGGTCAAAATTTACAAACTTATCGACTACCTCTGTCCCTATTCAAAAGTCACTATTTCCTTTTGGGTCGGCTCTAAAAAATCGCTTTCCATATTTGATATACAAAATAGTGTAATACAATGCCAAATAATGTCAAACAATATCAAACAATGCACTTTCTTAAAAATTGTGTAAAAAGGCGCTTTTAAATTATATTGGGAAGGAGAGTATAGTATATAAGAGCGGTTTACATATGAAGTAAGAAAATAAAACTGTGTTGTTAAGAAATACTCTCTCAGCCCCAATTTCTAAGACATGATTCCTATTCGGTCAACATAAATCATTTTTAATATTTTGTTTTATATATTTAACTTTTATCCAATGTGATTTTTTTGCACAGTTGTAAAACTTTTAATGTAGTTTCTGAATATGAAAATTTTATTTTCTAAAACTAATTTGAATATTGAAAGAGATCAATT